GAGGGAATCTCACTTGGCGGACAACAACTGCACTGACATCGGTTGCTTAGCTTTACGTTGCCTTTCCAAGGAATCTCAGGAAGGCGCCGCGTAACAACGTGTACGTAGCTAAAGTGGTGTTTATACTACATAATTTAGAAAAAATTGGTATATAAAAGTTTTTAAAATAGGAGCATGTAAAAAGAATTTCGGTATAAATTAAGGGTCAAACTATGTATTAAGCTTTTAACTACCTATAATTATCTTATAAATAATTTAATTGTATAAATATTTGCATTGATAGTACATAAAACTTAAACTCTTTTTAAATATGCTTTGATTAAGTTAGACAAGAAAAGAACAAAATGTTGAGATTTTAAGCTTTTGTAACTTAAAAAAGGTGAATGAGGAATGGAGGAAAAATAAAATATTTGAGTTTCCCTCCTTGGCAAAGGGACATTGTCCTATATTGGAGGAAGAAAGGGCTTTTGATGGTATATATATAACTGCTCTTCTTCTAGCTCTTAAAGGGTTAAGAATAAAGCAAGTCTCGCGCCGTCGTCATCGCTCGCTCGCTTGGCTTCGGCTTATAACCCATGACCCGCGATCCGGTCCGGTCAGACCCGTTTTCTTTCCCGGATTATTTTAAATTTTCTCGTAATATTTCAAACAACATGTTCCTGAAAGGTTGCAAACCTTTTCAGAAACAATGCCAGTAACTCTATAAATATACTTTGAATCTTAGAACCTTTCCTTACGAAATTTTCTGATCTTCTTCTTCTTTTTCTGCACAAAAAATTTCAGTGTGTTTTACAACCTTCGAGTGGCTCGCTGTTCACCAGCATTTTTGGTACCAACACTCCGGTGAGTTAAATCGTTCTATCCTGGAAGGATATATTCCAGCACCTCGAGTACTTGAGAGGAATAATTTTCTTAAGGACACACTATGTATTCAATATTTTTCCTACACTGTTTTTCCAGAATTTATTTCTTTAAACAAGTGTTACTAACTTTCTGTTTTGTTTATATATTTAAGAAAGTTTAATGATTTAATTCTTTATTACATCAATACAGATTTATAACACAAAATAAGTTCTTTTTTTTAATGTAAGGTACACCACCTAGTATTTCTTCACGTAGATGCATTAAGACAAAAATCCAAACAATTCTAATAAAATGCTAATCCTTTCCTAGAGATAATAGAACACATTATTAATCAGAATCCTTTTCATATTCTAATATTGGTGTCATTATCTTTTACATATGGTATGGGACAAAAAAGATAATCATGATCCAAACAAAATTAGTACTATATTTTTATCTGCATCTATCATTATTAACGTTATTATTCCATTTCCTTAAACTTTGCTCCAATTTAATTAAGGACCATAGGCTGGAAAATTTTAAAAGACAAAAAGAATAAGGTATCATAAACACCACACAACAAGTGTTTGAAGATTAAATAAGAGAATGTGTCTTGTGTTTCTTAATCCCTTTGTTTCTTTCTTTGTTTTGTGGCGCACATTTAACAAGAATATTAGAAAATAGTAACTTATTAAATAGCAATATTCAAGATGCAACAAATGTAGCATATTTCTTACGGGTTTGATCGAATCCAATTGGAAATAGGGCGGGTGGCTTACCTCATTGAGCTATCGATCGCGAAGCTATCGCTCGGTTCAACCAACCGTTTCGTCCTGATTCTTTTTTATAGGTTGAACTCATCAATTTTAAATCTCGGATCCACCCCTATTGTACTATTGGGACAAACAAGAACATGTGATTGGTCGAACGAATGTATACTTAATATTTAAATAACAAAATCGGCAAACTAAACAGAGATTAAGTCAATCTAATTAACTCTCCAGGGGGCATATACCACAGGACATTGCGATTATTGCTTTACTATGGTACCTTGGAGGTGCAAAAATCATATACATAAATCAGTTGAGACCTGGTTAGTTAATACTTAATCAAGAAGATTACCGAACTAAGTCAAGATTAAGTTAATCTAATGTACCTCTCTAGGGGGCATATTCCACAGGACATTGAACTTGTTCCTTTACTATATCTCAGAGGCAAAGGCGGACCTATGTGTATATATATCCGTGGGGATCGGATTACCGGACTCCATAAATTTCGATAGAAATTTTATAAATGTATGTGTATATTTTAAAATTAATTAATTTAAATTACTTAGCACCTTAAACACTAAAAGCCTTTATGAGATATTGATTGGACAACATATTGGTGCCCCCGTCGTGTTAAAATTCTGGGTTCGCCTCAGCTTAGAGTGCAAAATCACATGCATAAATTAAATTATTAGCTGAGTTACCTGCAATAAAAAAAATTGATAAGCATTTAATTAGTAGCATTTTCGCATAATCCTACATTTTTTTAACTAGTATTTCTTTTTCGTTTTTTAGTAGAAATAATTTTACTTTTGCATTTATATATAAGCTTGTATTCTAAACTATCCACAATATATAAGGCTCACTTTACAAATAAATAAGGTTCACTTTTGCAAAGAAAATTAAAAAAGGAATCTTACGCACCAAAACCTGTTGGGGTAATTTAGTATTTATGAATTTGAATAAGTGAATATTATAACTTTATTTGTGTGAGCTTGCTCACAGTAGTGTCTATCCCCAACCCCGAATAATATAAAAGCCAATTTATTTACAAATAAGTAAATATCATACTTTCAGTTTATTGGATGATACTATTAAAGAAAGGGTAACAACAACAACAACACTCGGTGAAACTGCACAAGTGAGGTATAGGGAGGATAGTGTGTACGCAATTTTACCTCTACCGTTATGAAGATAGAGAAGATGTTTCTAATATACTCGGCCCAAAAAAACATAACCTAAACAAAAAACTAAGAGATAATAATAGAAAACTAAGAACTAGGAAAGTACACTAATACTAAGAAACGCGCTACTACCTACTAACTTACTATTGAAGAAAGGGTCCATACTCTTTTCCTTTTTAACTTATAGAATCAACTTGTGCATTCAATTTTACAAACTTATACAATGAAAGTGTTGATTTTATACTGGGAATGTATGCGTGCATCTTAATACCAATAGTTTTCCTAATTTTGCTTCGATCTATAAAAGGAAAATAAACATTAAACATGTTGCTTTTATATTTGAAACGTAATTCATTAAAAATTAATCATTACTAGAAACCCTTTTGGTCATATTTCAATAACTTTTCCTAATTTTACTTCTTTCCTATGAAACAAAACAAAATTATTTTGACCAAACTTTTATCCAAAAATAGCATCAAAAGTCAAATTGTTGAAAATAAAAGGAAACCTCCTGGAATATAGGTACCATTAACCCCACTCCAGTAACTCAAAATTTACTGTGGTTAAACCGCTGAGCATAGAACCACGCTCTTATGCAAAGCGTGAACATCACGCGCCATGCTAATATATTTGTTCTTGTTCATTCTTCTTCTTTGGGGTCTCCAAATTTTGGTTTCTCCCAGTGTTCCTCTCTCTGTTGTCTCTCTTTAGCTCTCTCCTATATATACATACATTTTTCATATGTATATGTGCATGTAAAATTATATATACACATCAATCTTGAAACACTCCATTTATCTCTTTGGGCAATTTTGCTGAGGACCTCAATAATCTGTATGTTTTCTTTTCTTATTTCCCATTTTCTTTTTTAAGGGTCTCATTATTTTTCATTTTCAAGATTTGTTGTTATATGTTTCTGTATTTTTTGGTTATGTCCTATAAAATTTTATGAATGTTTTTAGATGATGGGCTTAAGTTTCTTTCAAATTGGAAATGAAATTTGAGGTTTTTCATGTTAAATTTTTTATCTTTATGTTATTTTTCTGGGTTTTTATGCTTTTTCATGATAAAGTTTTGATCTTTTTTGAGAATCAAGTAATGATCTTTCTGCAAATTTTAGAGGCGGTTGGGGGTTGGGGG